GAGATTGAGAGAGAGATAGAAACATCAATGATGAGAGAGAATCATTGATCAGCTGCCTCCTGCATACCTCACAACCGGAAGTGTGCCCTGACTGGGAATCGTGACCTTCTGATACATAGGTCGACACTCAACCTCTGAGCCATGGCGGCTGGACGTGCATGATATAGTTTTGATGAAACATTGACTCTATCTAACCTAATGAGTTTGACTGACCTTTCCTGTATTCTCAATCACTGCCTTTTTGTTCTTATTTTGACTGCTAATTTATTAGCATGATAATTGTTTTTAAAAACATGCTTACTTATTTTTTTAGTGTGTTTGGAGTCGTTTTCAGTCAGTATAAAGTCAGGTTAACTTCACTGAGAGAATCTAGAGCAAGTTCACCCCACTGAACTGAAAGACCTGGTGCAAATACAATGCCTCATCCTCATTCCCAGAGCTCAGATTCTCTCTCAAGCAACACAATGGGCAAGGCCACCACCAACAGCAAACTTGCTTAAGTCTATGCTGCTGTTTCTTATAAATGGAAGAGTTCTTGATTTAATATTTCATATTAAATATATTTAATATTCCCATTACTATCTTACCCTACTAGCTCATACTTTTTTCTGCTGATACACAATAATTAGAAAAATAAGAGAAAATAACCTTCCTTTGTTAAATATTTTTATCTTAAAGGCTTTTTGTTTGTTTATTTAAAAATTAAATATGTGGAAAAGGCTATCATTTCTCCCAAGTATTTCAAATTGCTAAGCACCTTTTATAATGCATAAGGAATAAGCAATTGGTTTGATGAGTTGCTGCAGAAATCTTGGAACTTTGCAGAAATTCTCAGTAAAAGGAAGTTACTATATTGCAACAAGAGGGTATTTTGATTGCAAATTTTTTCCATAAGTGTGGCAATTTGCAACTTGAGAAAAATTTAATAGTAGCTGAGCTTTCAAAATGAAACACAGAAACTGTCATTTTCTTCCACAATTAAAATAAGTGCTTCTGAAAGTTTCAGGATAAGAATGGCCCAAATTACCCTCCCCCATACTTCCTCATCGAGAACAGGGGGGAATGGAGTTTCAACAGAACATCTGTGGACAAAATGAAAGACAAATGGCCTTTTCAGGCAAATGTCTGAAAAAGGGAGCTTTTATAGCCAAACAGAATACCATTGCATGTATCACCATGGGTAAGGAGAGGATCAACAATACTTTCATAATGGCTTTTTATTTTAGCACATTCTATTTTTATGGATAGAGTTATGATTTCAACACATCTATTCATAATTCATCATATAATTATTTGCATACATATCTTTTGACCCAGATTTAATATACTTTAGCCAACCACATCTTGAGTTCAAATTTGAACTTAATTGCACTAAGAGAATTCCAGTGCAAGAAATACTAAGGGAGGTTGAATAAAAAGGAAATTTAATTATCTACCAAAACAAATGACCTGATAAAAAACAGAACTTTCAGTAGCATTCTGTTCATGGATTACTGGACAAAAGACACCTGGCTTGTTTGTTGTCTACTGAAGGACTTCTTTCAAGTTAAAACCTTCAGCTAATTAAGACTACATCCTATGCTCTTTTTGGATGGTTTACTTAACTTTTATTTATTCAACCAATACTTATTGAGGAGATCTACTCTGTGCTAGGCCCCGTTTTAGGCAGAAGTTAAAACAATGCATAAAATAGAATTTCTCTTCTTTCGTGCAGTTACATTTGGAAGAGGATCAATGAGACCGATTAAACATCCATCACTCAGAATGAATAATTCCTTTATTACAACTAGTAAAGACAACATATGATTATAAATTTGCACCTCAGGAACATTTAATCACACTGTTGCTGAGATGAGGAAACCTTTACTGTTAGGAGCTTATTTATGTATGTATGAATAGTGAACAGTTTCTAATATAAGTTTGTAAGGAATCTTTTTAATAATGAGGCTATTTCAGGGGTACCCATGATCATCCACATGTTTGATGATTTGCTAGAAAAACTAGTAAGACTCAACAGAGAGTTCTACCCAAGTTAAGTTTTATTACAGTGACACAGCAAGGATATGCAGTCAGATCAGTAAGGAAAAAAGACACCATGACAACTGGAGAAATTGATGTGCAGGCTTCCAATAGGTGTCTCTCTCTCTCTCTCTCTCTCTCTCTCTCTCTCTCTCTCTCTCTCTCTCTCTCTCTCTCTCTCTCTCTCCCCTCTTCCTCCCTCAGCAACAAAAATGCAGCAGTTACATATAACAATGTTCTGTGCCCAAGCAACCCCAGGAAAAAGCTAGCATCCAAGGATTTTCTTGGATTATTCACATGGAAACCCCCTGTCCAGAATGTGCTAAAATTAAAGGCCATTATAAAAATTCCAGACCCCCATAAGGAAAACAGGTGTAGTTCTTGATGGGCAAAACCACCTTATCGCTTAGGGAAGCTTTATGTCAATACTACAGGCCCAGTGCACGGATTTGTGCACATTGAGAGAATCAAATGAGATGGGGAAGCACAATAAACCCTTTTAAGAGGTATAACCCTTTTAAGAGAAATTAACTAGATGAATTCTTTTAGAGGCCTGGAAGGGACCGCAGGAGAATGGCTGGCTGGGGAGGTACTGCAAGAGGGATCCAGGACATGTCCTGCCTGTCTCACCCAGCTCTGATTGGCTAGACCCCAGCAGCAAGCTAACCTACCAATCACTGCATCTGCACCCTGGTACTCAGTGTGGGTCATAGCAACTGGTTGAATGGTCTAACAAACAGACACTTAGCATATTAGACTTTTATTATATAGGATAGAGAACTATTTACTAATCAACTTTCCAGATGAGAACTGTTTACCAGCCAACTTTCCAGATGTCAGCCAAGGGTCCACCTTGCAAGCAGGCCCTTGTAAGAGAGCAGTTTCAGGCCTGCAGTAGTAACTCTTTTCTGCACAAAAACCTATTTCCTTGACTATAGTTTTCATTGTTTTTCCTCTTATGTTCAAAATCATATAATTCAATTACATGATTTTAATTAATATAGTTCAAATATAACTTTCATTTTAGAAAATGTTACATTGCTTAGAAAAATAATGAGATCTCTTTTAAGATAATTGCATTGTAATATTTATGATATTTACAAAAGATATCTAAGGCTTTGCTTCTTTGAAAGATGGCTAAATCTATATTTTGTGCCTAGGAGTTCTTAGGTTTCAACAATATGTACACTGATTGTACTCTGTAATCACAATTAGTATGAGAATATTTTTATAAGGAAAGAAAGGATAATCCTATTAAAAAGAAAACCTGGAGAGCATAAAATATGTTTTAGTGTAGGGTTTAAAGTAGACTTCCAGGTTTTAAAGAATAGCATGCAAAAAGCATAGGAGGTATATTATATAACTCAATTATTTCAAGCTATCTTTTATCCATGTAGCTTCCTAAAAACAAACCACCCCCATCTTTGTCATTCTTAAAAATAATGAACTGTAAAATCATAATGTTACTTGTGGCAACACAAAAGGATAAAAGAAACCCAATCAGTAATTTTACAGCCAAACAATCTAGGGGAAATAGCTATATGTAAATTAACTATACTTAAGCACACTAGCCTGAGTTATTATTTGAGTTATTATTTTGAAATAAAGTGCACTCAAAAAACTCAACACAATATAATGTGTTGTATCTCTTATGCTTTCTCTCCAAAGTTGTGAATTCCTTTAACCATGAATCCTGCAAAGTTTTTCACACACACGTGTGTACACTCACACATATATAGCTTTGACACATGGTGATTATTTCTGGGTTACACTGTATGGCAGCAAATGATCTGATCCTTATCTTTAGGACTAATATCCATTCATAGCATTATATTCATGAAAATTATGTTAACCACATACAAACACAAGAAATCTATTATGAGAGTAGATTATTATTCTGCTGTTTTATGAGCAAAGATTCTAAATAAGAAAGTATGTCACAGAATATAAATGTATTCTATAAAACCAAGACTAGTGAATTTTATGTGAACAAACTTCAATTGCCTCATAGAAATACTTTTGTAAAGAAAAAGAAAAACAGTCAATGCAGTTGTGGGTTTTTCTATTAAGAAATTAAGCTGTTCTGGCATTTAGCATGGAGTAAACAGACAGGTTTTACTGAGGTGGTTCTTCAGCCAAGCAAGTAATGTTGGGAGCATGACTCAAGGGAATTACTATGGAAATCAAGAGGAAGAAGAGAGGCACCAAAGTGTGGTGATGTCAATAAATTGGATACCTCAAAGGAACGTTTTCTAAAAATTGCAGGGATGGGGTTATTAGACTATGAAAAACAGATAATGGAGGTAATGGTTCTAATATGCTTAAGATAACATGTGATCATGGCAGTGGCTAGCCAAGGAGCGGAGAACTAAAGATCACTGGAGATGAGGGACTGAGGAGCCACGGTGGCATCGCCTACATAGAGATTAGTAGGCTGGCATCGCCTACATGGAGATTAGTCACCGATAATAGTGAGGGAAGTAGGTGTGACATGAAAATAATGATCCAAGTGCTGACATATTTAGTGGCCAAGGAGAGTACCTAGGAGCTCAGTAGGTGATGGTGGTGTGTGTAATAGAATAAACTTCTAAGGAACAAGAAATAGTCGTATTTGCCTGCTTACTTAATAAGATTTTTGAGAGAATCAAATGAGATATTGCCTGGGGAAGCACAATACACCCTTTTAAGAGGTATAAAGTAGGGCTGTGCATATATAAGAGCCCTTCGTTTCACCAGTTTTGTGCCCCGCTTTCTCCACTACAAAATAAGGACAATGATAATACCTCCTTCTGCTTTCCAGGAGATTAGAAAATTGAATGGCATGATATACATGAATTTTTTTTTTGAGGCTTTGGAAAAAGAACGTAATTTCTCTGACCAGGTTTCAGAGTCAGCATTCAGGTGCTGAGACTTCTGCACGCTATGATGGTGCTCCAGACGCCACCCTATCAGATAACATTCTTCCCTATCTTTGATTTCAGACATTTCAGCAGTCCTCCCTGCAGCATAAATCAAAGAAGAAAAACAAAGGTAAGAAAAGGAAATGAATGAAACATACCTGCTTGGTTTGCGCTGTGATGATACCTAGCACACTTGACCCACCCTCTCTTGCCTGAGACCAGTGTTGATTAGAAGAGCACAGCTCCCTAGCAGACACTGCTGAGACCAGCTTCTCCTTCAGGTCAATTGTGACACAAAGTGCCTTTTGCAAAGAATGGTCTGGACAGATTTTCATACTGGTGTTACACACTTCTTTTTTTGTTTTTAATTTTATATTTTTAGCTTATTTTTAATTACATTTTACATACAGTGCTATTTTATATTAGTTTCAGATGTACAGCATAGTGGTTAGATAATCATATACTTTTACAAAGTGGAATTACAACTATTGAAACCAATATTTCAAGTTCCCATCTGGCGCTGTACATAGTTGTTACCATATTATTGACTATATTCCCTATGATGTACATTACATCCCCATGACTGTTTTGTGATTATCAATTTGTAGATCTTAATCCCTTCATCTTTTTCACTCAGCCCCAAAACCCCCTCCCCTGTGGTAACATCTAAGTGTTCTCTATATCTATGTGTCTGTTTCTATTTAGTTTCTTTACTCATTTTGCTCTTTGGATTTCACATATACATGTGTGGGTAAACATGGGTTTACAGTTATGCATATAGAAAAAGACATGCAGGTTCTTGTTATTATTATAATAGCTTTATTAACTCAAAAGAATGTCACAATGCAACTACAAACCTATTTTTGCCTACCCCATAGATGAAATCATATGGTATGTCTCTTTCTCTGACTGACTTATTTCACTTAGCATAATACGTTGTAGGTCCATTGATGCTGTTGCAAGGGTAAGCTTTTATTCTTTTTATGAGCAAGTAATATTCCATTGTGTATATGTGCCACCACATTTTTATCCACTCGTCTATTGATGGGCACTTGGTTGTTCCTATATATTATCTATTTTAAATAACACTGTAATGAATACAGGGGTATTTGTATATATTACCAGAAGTGGAATTTCTGGATCAGAAAAAAGTTTCACTTTTTAATTTTTAAACTTATTTTTATTGTTGAAAGTATTGCAGATATCCCTCATTTTCCCATGCCCCCCTCCACCTGGCTCGCACCCCACCCCAGGCCTTCACCACACTATTATCTGTGTCCATGGACTATGCACATATGCATAAGTTCTTTGCTTAATCTCTTCCTGCCTCCTCTCCTATCAGTCTGTTCCATGCTTCAGTGTGTCAGGATCTATTTTGTTCATCAGTTTATTTTGTTCATTAGATTCCATATATAAGTGAGATCATGTTATATTTCTCTTTCTCTGACTGGCTTATTTTACTTAGTATAAAACTTTCCAGGTCCCTCCATGCTGTCTCAAAGGGTAAGAAATCCTTCTTTTTTACAGCTGCATAGTATTCCATTGTGTAAAGGTACCACAGTTTTTTTATCCACTCATCTACTGATGGACACTTGGGCAGTTTCCAGATCTTAGCTATGGTAAATAATGCTGCTTTGAACATAGGAGTGTACATATTCTTTCTGGTTGGTATTTTGGTATTATTAGGATATATTCCTGGAAATGGGATCACTGGGTCAAATGGCAGTTCCATTTTTAATTTTTTGAGGAATCTCCATACTGTTTTCCACAGTCTCTGCATTCCCAACAGCAGAGCACTTAGTACTAGGGTTTCCTTTTCTCCACATCCTTACCAGCACTTGTTTGTTGATTACTTGATGGTAGCCATTCTGGCAGATGTGAGGTGATTTTTCATTGTGATTTTAATTTGCATCTCTCTGATGATTAGTAATGTTGAGTGTCTTTTTATATATCTCTTGGCCATCTGTATGTCCTCTTGAGAGAACTGTCTACTCAGATATTCTGCCCATTTTTAATTGGGTTGCTAGTTGTTGTGTTTTGTTTTTTATGTTGAGTTTTATGAGTTCTTTATAAATTTTGAATATTCACTTATGAGATATATCATTGCTATGTTTCTTCTATCACTCAGGATATTGTATTTTTGTTTTGTTGTGCAAAAACTTTTTTAGTTATGTGTAGTCCAGTTTGTTTATTTTTTTATTTTGTTAACCTTGCCTGGAAAGGTATACTGAAAAAAATATTGCTAAGGAAAATGTCAGAGAGTTCACTGGCTGTGCTTTAATCTATGAGTATTATGGTTTCAAGTCTTAAATTTAACTTTTCAATCCATTTTTAGTTTATTCTTGTATCTGGTGTAGGAAGGTGGTCTAGTTTCATTTTCCATATGTATCTGTTCAATTTTCCAAACATCATTTATTAATTACACTATCTTTACCCCATTGTATGTTCTTGCCTCCTTTGCTATAGATTAACTGAACATGTAGGTGTGGTTTATTTCTGGGCTCTGTATTCTGTTTCATTGATCAACATATGTGTGTTGTATTCCAGTACCTTGCTGTTTTCATTACTATAGCTTTGTAGTATAGTTTGATATCAGATAGTGTGATACCTCCTCCTTTTTTTTCTCAACATTGCTATGGCTATTAGGGGTCTTTTATGGTTTCACATAAATTTTTGCATTATGTGTTCTAGTTCTGGAAAAAATACCATTGATATTTTGATAGGAATTTTTTTAATCTATAGCTTGCATTGGGTAGTATGGGCATTATAATGATGTTAATCCTTCCCCTCTGTGAGAATAGTATATGCTTCCATTTATTTGTATCTTCTTCCTTTGTTGTCTTAAAATTTTCTGAGTACAGATCTGTTACTTGGTTGAATTTATTCTTAGGAATTTTTTGATGCAATTGTAAATGGGATGTTGTGTTTTGGTGTTGGTTTGTTTTTGGTTTTTTGGTTTTGCTTTTTTGGAGGGGGGTAGTTTCCCTTTCTGATAATTTATTGTATAAAAATACAATTTCTGTAAATGTAAATTGCTTATTTGATCCTCTGCTTTATCTAACCTGCCATTGATTCCTGCTAGTGTATTCTTTATTTAAGTTATTGTATTCTTCATTTCTGCCTGTTTCTTTTTTTAATATATTTTATTGATTTTATACAGAGAGGAAGGGAGAGAGATGGAGAGTTAGAAACATCAATGAGAGAGAGTCATCGATCAGCTGCCTCTTGCACACCCCCTACTGGGGATATGCCCGCAACCAAGGTACATGCCCTTGACCAGAATCGAACCCGGGACCCTTCAGTCCCCAAGCCGACGCTCTATCCATTGAGCCAAACTGGTCCCGGCTCTGCCTGTTTCTTTTTTGTGGTTTCTGCATCCCTTTTTTATGCTTACAATATCTTTAAGTTTTCACTGAGTTTGTGCAGTCTTTCCCTGAGTTCCTTGAGTTTTCTTATAACAATGGTTTTGAATTCTGTATCTTTTAGGTTGCTTTCCTCTCTTTTAGTTCTCTTTTTTATATATCTCCTGATCTTTCATATGGGATGTTTCTTTGCCTCCCTATTTTGGCTGCCTCTCTGTATTTGTTTCTGTGTATTAGGCAGTTCTGCCTCAGGGTGAGTGCCTGTGGACGAGATTTTGTAAGTTGACCCTTTAAGAGTGCACCTGGATATTAGCAGTCACAGGTCTTAACCTGGCAGGTGAAATCCCCACTGATTTTCACAGCAGATGTTCTGTGGAACACTATTCCCTTTACCGGTGCTTTAGGCTGTGGAGCCTGGCATGGGATTGAGACAGGTCGCTCCTCAGGGGGGAACCTTTGCAGCCGAGAAATCCTCTAAATTCTAAACCACCACATGTGGGTACAAGGCCAGCCCTTTTCACATCTCTGCCCTTCCTGCCTATCTGGTTGTGGCTTCTTTTGTAAATCCTTAGTTATAAGACTTCTGTTCAGCTAGTCTTCAGTGGGTTATTCAGGTTGCTGTTTCTATAATTTAGTTATAATTTCGATTTGGTCTAGGGAGGAGGTAAGTGTAACTTCCACCTACTCCCCTTCAATCTTAGATCAAATTACTCAATTGTGATTGAACTGTATGTCACTTACCTGAGGGAAATGGTATTAAAGATTTTTGAATTTTTTATTTTAATGCAATGTGAAAATAAGATTTTTTTAAGGTTAAGTACCCAGACTGATTTTTTGAGATCTGTAAATTAATCTTCTACCTCCAACCCTGTATAAAATTTAAAGAACATTTTTACCCACTATTATATTTAGGTCCTATAGCTGGCAAGAGCAAAAGACGAATTTCTTGCAAAGATCTTGGCCGTGGTGACTGTGAGGGCTGGCTTTGGAAGAAGAAAGATGCAAAGAGTTATTTTTCACAGAAATGGAAGAAATATTGGTTTGTCCTTAAGGATGCATCCCTATATTGGTATATTAATGAGGAGGTAAGACAAAGCATATTTTGTTTGCCCATATATTCTCTATCTTTAACCAAAAGAATTGCCGTTTTGAAACATATTTTAAAATCATGTAATCACCTTGAGGCTAAATTCAGGAGATTTCTGCTAGTTATTTTTCATTAGAAAATATTTAAGACTTCTTAAAATAGTTACATTTTGGGGTTCTATAAAGATAGTTGTGTCATTTTTTCTAATGAAGCTACAGATCTGAAACTCAGATAAAGTAATTTTGTATATCTAATTAAAAATACCAAGCCAATTAAAGCTGTTGCTTAACTTAAATGATTATTGTATTTGTAAATTTGATATAGACTTTTAAATGCCTTGTTTTGTTTGAAGTTTTAAATTTTTTCTGGAGAAGTGAGGACGTCCTTTTGTAATTTTTTTTTTTTACTTTTTCTTTTTTTTTTTTTAATCAATCTTTATTTTTCATGTTATTACAAAGGTTTCTCATTTCTTCCCCCCTCCACCAGGTTCCCCCACCCTCCGCCCCCTCCCCATCCCCCATTGTCCTCATCCATAGGTGCATAGTTTATGTTCAGTCTCTTCCTCCCTCCCTTTCGCCGATAGTAAATCCCTTTTCAGATAGTAAATCAATTACTTAGCATTTTCTCATATCAATAATACCTCCACATGCCCAATGATACACTTCCCACAAAAGACATTTCCCAATAGGTCAACTAGCCTCATCCAGGCCCTACCCAAGGCACTCACAGATCAACACCCTAACCCTATACTAACTCAACACATCCAGATCTAAGCCTTCATAACTTGATTCAGCAGACCCTCAAGTTCCCGCAAAAGTTTCCAGCCATGTCTGCGAGGCAGCCGTGGGGCAGGGGCAGGCGAGGAGTGAGCTGTTCCAGGCCTGGCTGCTTCAGGCCTGGCCTCTGTTGTTCTGGTTCATTCCACAACCAGCTGCTCCAGGTCTGGTCACTGCCGCTCCCGACCTAGTTGCTCTGGACTTGGCTGCTGCTGCTCCAGGCCTGGCTGCTTCCAGCCTGGCAGCTGCTGCTCTGGGCCTGGCCACAGTGGACCCAGCTGTTCCGGGCCTGGCCGCTCCCAGCCTGGCAGCCGCTGCTCCGGGCCTGGCCGCTCCCAGCCTGGCAGCCGCTGCTCCAGGCCTGGCCGCTCCCAGCCTGGCAGCCGCTGCTCCGGACCTGGCTGCTTCCAGCCTGGCAGCTGCTGCTCCGGGCCTGGCCGCACCCGACCCGGCTGCTCTGGGCCCGGCTGCTCCAGGCCTGGCCGCTCCCAGCCTGGCATCCGCTGCTCCGGGCCTGGCCGCACCAGACCCAGCTGCTCCTGGCCTGGCCGCTCCCAGCCTGGCAACCACTGCTCCAGGCCTGGCCTCACCAGACCCGGCTGCTCCGGGCCTGGCCGCTCCCAGCCTGGCAGCTGCTGCTCTGTGCCTGGCCGCACCCGACCCGGCTGCTCTGGGCCCGGTTGCCCCGGGCCGTCCTTTTGTAATTTTAATAGATTAGTATCACCAGAATTTATTTCGGTTTTTCTTTTTTTAAAAATGAACTGGTAGACTGATTTTGAAAATTTGCAAGTATTTACTCTATTTGGCACAATTGGGGTGTAAATATAATAAATACATTTAATTGTTTTTTATGATTTCCTGATTCATTTGCAGTAAACATATTTATATCCAGAATAATTATATCATAATCTATCACATATCACAACAGATATACAAGAATATACCTTACTCATTGATATTCCCTTTACATTACTATGTTTTCTTTGATTTCTTTGCCATAGTCATCTATCAATTCACCTCATTGTTTGTTAACAATATTTTATATTGTTAACTTGTTTTCAAAAAAATGTATGTGGTTTAATGAAATATAGTGGCTAAATAGACTTATATGAATACTGTCAAAACATTATTCAATTTGTATTCGAAGATTGATTTTTGAAATGTATTTTAAAATTATTATGCCTATGATTATAATATCCAGTATGTAGATAATTTTTTGTTCCCTAGACAGGCTGTTATAATGTTATATTATATTAGGTTATGTGTAAGAGGGTAGACTTAACACTGCCTGAGTTACTGTGCCTCAGTTTCCATTTCTGCAAAAAAGGGAATAATAATAGTTCCTAGATCACTGAGCTCTCATATGTATGAAAAGAATCAGTACACTTACACCAATGTTTGGTACATACTATGTACTCAATAAACATATGCTATTAGTAATATTTTACAGATTGGCATATTTCATTTTTGAAATCTTGAATTACTATCTTGCTATTTAAGATAAATGTCTCTATTAACTATATAGAAGAATTTGATTATTTACTTTTAATATTCTTTCTGGCAATCACATAATTATGTGTGTCTTATTTTAGATATACTAAACAGACATAATTTTACTATATATATATATATATACATATATATATATATATATATATATATATATATATATATATATATATATACACCAATCAAGCATTATCAAAATATAGTGTTTTCTATGTCTCTTTTTATTTTAAGATCACCTGTAGATTTGTCTGCTTGTGATAAATTATATTCTATGTTTACAGTTCAAGTGATCAAAAAAATTATGGCCCCTTTTTCTTGAACAGTATCTAAATTTCAGTCAGATAGTTATTGTTACTGTGTTAGCCTTGCAAGAGGTGAGTGGATAATTCCAACGTATACATTCCAAGAAATACCCTTGTATGACATTATTAGGAGTAATATAAAAGTTCCTCATCCTATCATTTTGAGAAGATAATAACTACTCCTAAAATACTTTAAATTGTTCAACATTTAAACATTTTACATTAAAGACAGCAGGATAACAGGGGAAATCAAAATTGAAAAAAAATAGATTTGAGACTATTATATTTACCCAAAGATTTGAAGAAAAAAACTCAAATATTGAGAAAGTTATAATATTGCTTATTTAATAATACAAACATTTTAGTCACTATCAATTATACCAATCTTTAAAGTTTAACATGTACAAACACACACAGTAAAAGAATTGAAAGTCTGTTTTTTCTTTGAGATTGTAAATGAGGATTTAATCTTATTTAAACTTTTAATATAAGAAGGAATGAACTGGTACAGCATAGATCAAAGTTCGGGAGAGTCAGTCTTAAGAGTGTGGTCATGAGGTGAAAGGGACAACAATGAAAGGGTTTAGCCACAGTCAGTGTTAGCATAGTTGGGATCCTTTGTATTCTAATGTAAGATTTTGGATAATACTTCTGTCTTGTTTTTTCATCCCTCGTTAGAGATAGGAGGATTTTATAGATTTCATTTGATTTTCCAAGTGAAAAATAACCTTTGCGTATAGCATATATACCAAGTCATATATTTGAAGATTAACAAAATAGTTATTTAATTTAGGTTTGATAAGAGATTTCTTTGAAGGCAGAAAAGGAATTGAGTTAGTAAACTTACCTATACTTTACATCTGAGCGTTAAATATCATTGATAATTATAAATTGTAAATGTGGACTAAAGTTATTTTAAGTGTTGTTAAAGTTTATATGCATCAGATTAGAAAATTACTTATAAACCATATTTCAATTTTATTAAATAAGATGTGTATGCTTCAAAAAGAATTACCTGTCTTCATTTTAATGTAAAAAAGATTTTAAAATTTTTCTATATACATTTTAATTTATAGTATTCAAAATTTCCAAAATATACCTTAGTTTAAGGGAATGTAACAGATAAGAGTGGAATTCTAATTTCTAAAATGTAAAATTTAAGAATTAAATGGACAGATATTTAAAGCCTAGTTATATAGTATCAGCTTCAAACCTTTGTATATAATATCCTAAACTAGAGTGTTACCTTTTTAGGATGAAAAAGCAGAAGGATTCATCAGTCTGCCTGAATTTAAAATTGATAGAGCCAGTGAATGCCGCAAGAAATAGTAAGTTCATTTCCTTTGGGGAGAAGGAGAAAAGGGAAAGCTTTTTAAACTTTTCCTAGCTTTTAAATTACAGGCTGCTTGTCTAATGCTTTCAAATTGAGGTAATAAGAAAGCATTTTGTGAGCAGAAAATTGGATTTTTTACTGATTTCTGTCATCATGGCAGAAGCATTATATATGTGAACTCAGGTTAGATTGTTGAGGTAATTTTACCCATTAAAATGATTATGTTCTAATCTATTTCCCAATTTGAAATAAAATAAATGTACTTTGTTTTCTTTTGCAGTGCATTCAAAGCCTGTCATCCTAAAATCAAAAGCTTTTACTTTGCTGCTGAGCATCTTGATGATATGAACAGGTAAAGTGTACTTAAATTTCAAAATAATTACGAAGTTAGTAAGGTTTAGAATTCTAAGTTTTCCACATTAATATTTAGATAATGTCACTGAAGTTTCTAGATCAACCAAGTTTAAAATAAAATGTAGCCAACCTAATTTTAAAGGACAGCATTAAAAAGTCAAAGTAAACTCATTGACTGTCAAGTTTACCAAAAATATACCAGAATCCATCCATGGGAGGGGGGGGACGACTAAGAATATTTTTTAAATTTTATTTTTTTATTGTTATTATTCCTTACCCAATGATATTTTTCCCATTTATTTTTAGAGAGTGTGGAAGGGACGGGGAGAGACAGAGAAAAACATCCATGTGAGAGAGATACATCAATTAGTTGCCTCTTGCAACACCAAACTAGGGCCAGGTATGGAGCCTCCAACCAAGGTATATGCTCTTGACCAGAATCGACCTGCGACCCTTCAGTCTATGTGCTGATGCTCCATCCACTGGGCCAAACAGATTAGGGCAGAAAATATTTTTTAAAGTCCATTTGGAGAATAAGTATTCAGATTTACTCCTAGGTGAGGGAAAAAAGATATCTACACACAAAAAGCTGACTTTCCTAGGTTTGAGTATTTATGACAGAATATCTATCCCAATAATTCATGCCTAAGCAAAGTTTGTATTTCTTTCTGACACCATCTATCGCTGGACAGGATTATATAGCCAAATTACTAGATGGCTACTTGGTTATTTGATGGCTCTGAGAAAAAAAATATCTATATTTTTTTTCCATCATCTGTAACATTCCACTTTGTTTCTACTTTAGCTTTTATGAATTTGATCCTTTCACTGCTCCCTTTTCTAGATATATAAAAATTGGATTGAAGATTACAATATTTCCCTTTCTAGGTCTTCAACGGGTAGAACATATATATATGCAGATAGTTAAGGTGGTTATATAAAGTGGTCCAGAGCATGGACTTTGGAACCAGACTGTCCAAAGTCTAGCTCTCCTACTTACTATTCTGTGACCTTGGACATAGACCTTAACCTCTCTATGCCAGGTATTAACCCTTTTTAATAATGGAGATAATAACCATTTTCACCAGTAAGACTTTTATGAGGAGCAAATAATCACACATAAAAGCCTACTAAGTTGTGCTATAAAATATTCACTCGCAATATAGATTCTTTTTATACACTTTGAGCTCTTGCCCCATTTACCTTTCTTTGTGTGTCTCTAAAAACTTGGTATCCAAATATTTTAACCACATAATTATGCAGTTTTTTAAAAATGCACTTGAACACACTAAATGAACACTGAATGTGCTTTTTTCTTTATCTTTCCATTTTCCTTTGTTTTGGAGAGTATAATTTAGAGTCTTTATTAATATTGTTCTTTGACACTGGGAATACAGGCATGGTTTTTCCAAAGCAAGGATATGATTACAAGGAAATGGCAAAGAGAGGTATTGAACATGGTTGATAAAATCTTTCATTATTGATAAGAAAACTGAGCCTTTCATGTAGTTTCCATAATGTTATCTTAATGAATACATTACCATTCTTGAAATCTCATGCTAGGCAACCAGAATTTTAGAGAGTGTTTTCTCCTTGTTTTCAAAATAAAAAATGTCCATTCACCTCATTGATGTTTCTCTCTCTCTCCTTCTCCTTTCCTTTCTCTGAAATTAATAAAAACATATATTTAAAAAATAAATGAGTATTAAAACATTAAAAAATTATTTCCATTTTGTGTGAAGTCCGTGCAGGGAAAAAAACAAAACACTTTGTTTCTGAGACTTAGTTACTGAATTCATTTGGCTTATATATTTCTCAAACACTATCTGGCACACATAGGCTTCGAATAAATGTTTCTTTAAATATTTAATGCATACATATATGTTGTTCATAAGAGCCCGTAAATAGAAAATCATAACTGCAACACATATATAAGTTAGATTCTTCTAGATGAGGTCTTAAGGACAAGTTTATCTAAGATTGTACCAACATTCATGTATTGCTCAGCTTATTGTGACTTGAGTTCATTTACACACTTTCTTAATAGTGTTAATTATGAACAGCAATTTTATTTGTAAAAGTAGTTTAATTTTTCCATTGTTTTATGAAATTAAGCAATTCTAGAGCTCATTGAAGGCAAAAAGTATGTCATATTCATTTTTGTATCCCCATAACTCAGTATGCAGCATATAGCAGATACTTAATAAATGTGGAACTGAACAATTAAGTAATCCTCTTTTTTTAGTTTCCTGGTTCATTTTATAAAGACCTTATTATTGTTTAGACTTCTGATAAAATGAAATTTCAGTGATATTTTTAAAAGTAGTAAATATGAGGTAATAAATTAAAATTTAATAATAAATAGTCCTCTAGTGGCATAATCTTCATTTTCACCCAAAAAGACCCAGAGCAATGTTTCCTATAAGAGTGCTAAGATTTGCCTTGTAGTACAAATTCAAACCCTTCAAATGACCTATAGACTAGATTTTAATTTTGACCTTTTACTACTGATTACATCATTTTAAAAAGGTATTTGTCATGATGTTAACTTTTTGACTTATAGTTTATAATTTTCTGAAGAATGGTATGTGTATACCATGCTGTTGAATTCATTTGATCAATCTTTATTTTATTCCATTTTGCTCTAATCCCTTATTAACTTTCTTAACATACATGAGGTGATAATTACATTGTAGGTTTTGTCAAAATAAAGTTGGACTTTAAGTGACTTATTCATAAAGTTAAAACTTAAATTGCCATGGATGTGATTTTGTCTATTAAGAACACAATTTTCCTCCCTTTTCAAGGTATTCTAAGTATCTGATGCACATTTAGCACCACTTAGCATAAATGATGCATTATATGAGTCACTTTAAAGAATGTCATCTTCCACTTAACAGAGGAGATAACCTGTTAGGAGAAAAAGTTCTCACTTTTTCTTAGAAATGTTCCTCAATCAGATTATTCCACAATTGAATGATGTTAGCCATACTAGTAATTCTACATTTACTCAAAATAATTTTTATTTTGGAAAGTATACGGACCATAGCTCATAATAACCAATGGGAACTTGTCAGATAAGTTTAAAGATTTTGTGATTTGCTAATCTGATACAGTGTGAACAGTTGGAATAATGAACACAGGGAGAGACCAGTGGAACAAAAGATGGAAGTTGAAACAGTGATTTACTTCAGTCAGTCCCCTGAATTGGCAACTGCAGCACTACTGAAAGAGAAAAGAACTAAGATCTATTTTTTAAATGTTTTTATTGATTTCAGAGAGAGAAAGGGAAACAGAGAGAGAGAAACATCAAGGATGAGAATCATCGATTGGCTGCCTCCTGCACACCCCCTACTGGAGACTGAGGGCACAACCCAGGGCTGTGTCCTGATCCTGACCTCCTGATTTATGGGTTGACATCCAGCCACTGAGACAAGCCATTTGGGGAGAACTAAGATTTATTTTTAAATTACTATTATTCATGGGGATAAATTTTCAGGGTCTAAGTAGGGGTTAAATTTGTATATGCTCACTTTGTCTTTGGAAAACCTAAGACCCTTGTACTTAGAGACAAATGTCTAAAGTACTCCCAAGATGCGTTTCCCTTTGGACCATTAAACTCAAAAAAGCTTCAGCAACACTTAATATTTCATAGTGAAATTTATTTTGACGGTCAAGGTCCACAACTTTTTTCCTTATTAGGACAACATATCTGATATTATTTAAGTGTCTCTAAGGAAGCATTTCTTCTGAAGAAATAAAACAACAGAATTAGGTGGAATGCACATTGGAATAACAGAGTTAATAGGGTTTTGTTCATCTCAAAATCCTTGATGTTGCAGACATTAATAGTTTTCCCAAGACTTTTCTATTGAAATAGCACCTTTGGTGTGGGAGCATTTTGCATTCTAGCATGTTATAACTAATGGAAGTCTTCATGTGTCAAGAGTAGCAAAGAACACATCTTTTATGTAGGATTTTTCCATATATTCTTAGGCTGCTAAAATAAATATTTCTAAGAAGTGTAAGAAATTAAGACACAATGCTTCTGATTTTAATATTTTTTTCAGATGGCTTAACAGAATCAATATGCTGACTGCAGGATATGCAGAAAGAGAGAGGATTAAGCAAGAACAAGGTAAAGGAATACTTTTTCTTCAATTGGTTTTTTTTTCTTGCTGTTATTTTGTAGTGATTCACTGCTATCATTTGACAGAAAATGCATATGTTAGTTTGTGACCATTTCTCTTTTGAGTACTAGTACTTTGAATGTAAACCATACCATTGTATAGGTAAGTTTAATAAATTAAACAGATAAGGAATAAACACAAAATTTTGGAGCAGCAAATATGAAGTTCTATTTTGTTTGTTACCAACTCCCTCAGTCTACTTTCCATGAAAGAAAAAAAATATTAAAAATTAAAATGTCTGTAATTGGTTCTGTATATTGACCCAATTCTGCTCCTTGGTTGTTGTTATTTTTTTCTGTCTAATGGTCACTTAGACATTTAAGTGACTTTTTATGCTAAGAGCTCGGGAGAATGATCTCTTCTATAAATTATCACATTTGGTTATGTTCTTCAGTTCTGTTACTATGTAACTCTATGATTTTTATGGAACTTGACTTGGTAATGACCTCAGATTTATGAACACAATGTCATTATGCAGAACTGAAATCTTAACAAAAGCTGTGATCACCACTCTGAGGTGGCATCACATTTCCCAAAGAGTATTTGCTATACATCGCTTGGAATCTTAGTTTTTTGAAAATTTTGAGACATCCTAAAGTTGAAAGAATTCCACAGACTGATGTATACACAAACATAGTTCTAGTTGTGTGTTCAGTGGGTATAGCCTGTTTATTGATGTGGAGATTCTAAAAGCCTTTTGTTTCCTCTCAGAGTAAAAACCACACCCAAAACTTTTCAAAACACCTGAAAACTAAAGGTTAGAGGGACCTTCTAGTAAAAGAGATAACCAGATCCGTAAACTAATCTGTTAACAAACGTGTAGAGCAGGAGGCAGCACACTCCTGTAAAGACCAAAATAGTCAATATTTTAGGCTTTGTAGGCCATAAAGATTCTGTCACAATTACTCAGCTCTGCTGTTGCAGTATGAAAGCAGCTGTAAGCATGTGCAGGGGCATGGCTGTGCGCCAATCAAGTTTTATTTGTTGACACTAGGATTGAATTTCATATCATATTTTTGTTTTTTGGTTTTTGTTTTTAATATATTTTATTGATTTTTCACAGAGAGGAAGAGAGAGGGATAGAGAGTTAGAAACATCGATGAGAGAGAATCATCGATCAGCTGCCTCTTGCACACCCCCTACTGGGGATGCGACCGCAACCAAGGTACATGCCCTTGACTAGAATCGAACTCGAGACCTTACAGTCTGCAGGCTGACGTTCTATCCACTGAGCCAAACCAGTCCTGGCAGAATTTCATATCATGTTTTACCTTTCAAAAAATAGTCTTCTTTTGCTGTTTTTTAACCATTTAAAAATGTAAAACCCATTCCTACTTCACAGGCCCCTATAAACACACGCAAAGCTCCTCATCCAGGCCGTAGTTTACAATCTCTGGTTTAGAGCCATGGGATGAGAGAAAGGGGTGGGTAGAGAAGTGCAGGGTGAGAAGATAGGGCAGGAGATTTCGAAGAAATAGCAACATATGGTTCCTGCCAGTGGGAATTTATCATCTTGTTAAGAATCTCAAAAATACACACTTGAAATTGCTTAAGAAAAATTAAACAGTAGTATAAAGTACATCAGTGCTAATTTTTGCATAATATACAACTGATTAAAATTTGCTAAGGAGATGCAAAAAAATAAAACCTGAGAAGGAGATAAGATTAATGAAGAAATATTTGCTGGATAAAGTGATCAGAACATTGGCGGTGGAGAAGGAGAGAAGGTATTTTATACAATATTAAGTGTTTCTGTGTAAGGCCTCCCACTAGGTAGCACTCTAATTATAATCAAGATGAAATAGGCACTCATCATGCCTGAAATTACATTGAATTCTAGTAGAAAGGACATTCTTCATACAACACAGAAAATAAAATGTAATCAAATTTCGTGTGTATGACACTAGAGAGACTCCTTCCAGCTGGGGAGTCGGGAGATAGGCTTTCTGTTGGCTCCATTATCTAAACTGGTTCTCACAGGATGAGAACAATGTAGAGTCGAGGAAATAACAAAATAAATAAAACATCCCTGCAGTGGAATCAGCATAAATACTTCAACAAATAATGTGGAAGCTGTCTTCATCAAATCAGTGCACACAGACAAACCCCAGGCAGGACAGAGGATGCCAGGCCAGTTGTTGAGCCACGATTCTTCACTGTTAAAAGTTTGTTCAATGCAGCCGAAACCGGTTTGACTCAGTGGATAGAGTGTCAGCTTGCAGACTGAAGTGTCCCGGGTTCAATTCTGGTCAAAGGCATGTACCTTGGTTGCGGGCACATCCCCAGTAGGGGGCGTGCAAGAGGCAGCTGATCGATGACTCACATTGATGTTTCTATCTCCCTTCCTCTCTGTAAAAAATCAATAAAATATATATTTAAAAAAAAAAAAAAAAACTTTGTTCAATGCAGACAGCAACACAGTGATTACCAGAAGGAAAGGGAGTTGTGGGGAGATAGAATATAAGTGGGATAAATGGAGATGGAAGGAGACTTAACTTGGGGTAGTGAACGCACAATAAAAGACACAGGATGTATTATAAAATTGTACACCTGAAAACTATATAATTTTGAATTAGCCAATGTCACCCCAATAAATACAATATTTTTTAAGAAAGTATTATTCCTCACTTTCATGCTCCAACTTCATTTATAGGCTTAAAATCATGGGGAGAGCGCAAAAAATATAAGCCTTCCTTTTCAAATTTATTTAAATGGCATAAAACTGTTCTCTAAAGATGCATATAGATTTATTTCTGATCTTTTTAAGATGGAAGAATTAGAAGTTAGGGCAGTGTACTGATAGTAAAATGAATCTTTGAAACAAGTCAATTTGTGTGATTCTAGAGGCTTAGATTTTCAGGCTTAACTTCTGTATGTTATTACTGGGCATTGCTTTAAAGCTGAGCATTGTCTTGATTTTGGTGAATTTTTTTGTAATGGTATTATATGGCCAAATTTCATTATGGATGAAAGAACTGGTAAGTTGTATTATATATATTGGCTCAAAAAAGTTTTCATTTCATGGATTCATGCTGCCCTGGTCTCTCATGTGAGTTTATGTTTTAGTGCCCACTGGAGTAGGGTAGATAATAATATGCAGAAGCTAAGAGTTACAATTCAAGTCTGTCTTGGTAATGCAGTGCAACTGGAATCTGAAATAATCTGGATTTCCACTTAGAGTGTACCTTCCTCAGGCACTCTAACATAGCTCATAAACATGGACCTTCTACCTCTGCATGAATAGTAGTCTATATAAAAAACTACTGAATGCATGTCTAGTCCACACTTCTGTACAGTCATTTGACATCTCCTGAGTGCCATTCTCAGTACCAAAGTTAAACTTCATACAAAATATAGCTGCTTGAGGATTGGGAATATTTCACAGTGATGCAATGGAATAACTGCCAAACACTGTATCTGTTTAAATACCCAGTGCAACTTAGACGTTACTCTTTCATTGACTGAAATACAAGTTTAGTGAATTACTGTCTTTAGCTACAGATGTGTAAAGGATGTGAGGTTCTCTTTCATTATTCGTCATTGTACTAGAGAAAACAGGGTTACACTAAATTCTGCCAAGATCACAATTTGGCAAATTATCTGCTAATCATTTGTCTATATTTTTCCAGCTTCAAGTTAGACATTCATAACACATTCTTTTCAATTGCATATTAGGTCTTTTCAGAGCTTTAATTACATAAAAATGAATTTAATATATTGTATTTCTTTGATAACTCTAGATGAAGAAGTCAATTTTTTTCAAATTATCCTTTTCTATCAACATGAGAAGTAATGCGGAAATTTTGCTGTTCTAGTGATGGCACTGTTTATTTATGATTAGTTACTTATAAAATTGAATTCACTGCAAGAGACATTAAAGTATCCATCTATTTTCTGCTAAATAGAGAGCTCAGAAAAATTAATTTTCTCTTAGAATGAAAATCAGACTGGTTTCAGTCTCTGAGCAACAGTGTGCCTGTAATTTTCCACACAACCCCAGAACAGCCTGACTAAAACTTCCATGTAGCCTTTCTCTGGCAGTGCTCTCTCAAAGTCATACAGATTAGTATAAGAAACAAAGTTAATTTGCAAAGTGGCATTTCAGTCTTTTCTTAGACAACCCAAGAAAACTGTAGATTGATGGTGCTTTTTAGTAAACCAAGAATTACATCAAATAGTGGACTAAAGTTCTTCCTAATTGAGCTGGGGGGAAATTAGAAAGAAGCTCTCCCAAATAATGTCACTTTTAGTGATAGCTGCAGAGATCTTGATAAAATTGTGCTCATTTTCTTGTCAGTGTGCTAATAAGGGCCACTTGAGGTGCTGACTCTTTGAAACTACAAAGGTGCAAAGGTCAAAGAGAAACTCAGCAGAGGTGCCAGTTTCTGGGAATTGTGGGAAAGGTAAAAGCAGAGTGATCTTGGCAAGCCACGGCTTGGGGGTAGGATGTGGCGGAGGTTCTTCATCGCCTCCTTAAAGTCCCTTCATCTCCAGCAGTGACTTCCCAGTAGTATTTCAAGATCCCACAAAATTACCCAACCCAGGCCCCAGAGTTCTAAAATTCACTTTTAGGGGCTAGGACTTGCTATAAGAAAGAACTAATGTCTAAGAAGACGAACACCAGGCATTTATCTCCTAAGTGATCTGGGTCAGACTGTCCTGACATGCTACCTGCAAAGTGGACCAGGAGTCCTAACTAATATTTATTGAGTGCTTTCAGGTTCAAAGGCTCTTGATATATTTTACCTTATTTAACACACACACACACACACACACACACACACACACACACACACTCCTCTTAAAGGCAGTTATTATTAGCCCTGTTTTATAGGGGACAAAACAGACTCCTAAAGTTTAAGTAACCGTCACAAGAGCACAAAAAATGGTAAGTGTTATAGCCAAGAATTGAACCTACAGCTGCTCAAATGTATAGCTAGTATATAGCTCATGGTTTTCTCACCGTGTTTGCTGGGTCCATTCCTGTCAGTTTGGATATGAAGGAGCGTTAGTACACTGACCTTCACCAGTGTGATCCAATGTAAAAAACAGATATCGAATTTCTATTAAATAGTCTTTTTTTACCTTTTACACAAAGGAAATTATTACAGTAGGAATAGAATGTTCAAAGTCCTTGTATTTTTAGGACTGAATATAATAATCTCCATTACTAAAGAATTTCTGTTCACAGTAGCCAGACTTATGAAGCAGCAGGAGGAGAGGCTTAAACGAGTGTAGATATACAGTCCCAGCATGTCATACACAAAGTCCCAGTGGCTTAACCCTCTGAGGTTTAGAGCAAGGCACTTAGTTGAAATCCTAGTTCTATCACTTTCTATTCAGCATATAGTAAGTACTCAATAAATGTTAGCTGTACTTATAAATGCTAATCAGCAGCACAAGAAAACATGTAAAAATACTACAATATGAGAATTCCTAGGTGGAAAGGGATCCTGTAAAAAATAAATGCCATGACTTTTCACAGAAATCTGAATATTAGTCAAGCCTTCTGATGGTTCTTTTGTGATTTAGAGTTTCATGAGAAAAAGGAAACTTCTGTTTTAATACCTTTTCACTTCTTTTATCATCTGAAATTCATATGGATAATACTTCTGGGTTTTTCCTTGTAAATCAAATAAAGAATTAGCCCAGCAATGACAAGTTGGTTGAGATGTTATTTGTGGAACAGATTCTGATTATTGCCCTTTCGCTGTATTTTATTTATTCAGCTAATATATCTCTTAGAATTTTCTCCCTCCTCTCTTGCCTGAGGTCAGCCAAGTCACTTTGTCTGGCAGCTTACATTTTCTACCCTTTTAAGTAGTTCTGGGAGTTTGGAGCTTGCAGCCCACATCAGCAGATTTGCCCTTTTGCATTTGGCAGGAATCAGGGTTTGCCATGTGTTTCCCAGTAGAGGTGGGAGTGTGGTGTTATAGAGATTTATGTCAGCATGACTCTGGAAACACTGATTGTTAGATAACCAGTGAATTGAAGCCAGAAAAGAGAATTGAGAACATTATTTTTGGAGATGTTTATATCTGTAGAGATCTACAGCAGTATATGTATTACTTTTCTTTGCGTGTTCATCTTTAGGATAAAATGGTACATTTTAAGGGACATTGTGTGATGTAATTAATTAATTGAAGCTATAGAATAATTTGGTCTGGAACCTCAAATACACCTAAACTTGATTTGGCTTATGCAATGTCTTTTTCTTAACTCCTTAAAATCTCGGTTATGTACAATTGCTTGCTTTGAAAGGAGGTTGGAATTAATTAATTGTACACTTCCTTCATTCTCAGAACCCAGGTGAAAATAAAAGTTGGTGGGCCTAGGGTAAGGGGTGCTGGGGAGCTGGGTATAGGAGTGGAATGTAAACTTCCTTCTGTTAGCTGGTATCGTGTGTTCCTGAAAATATGTCTAGAAACATTTAATGGAATGTTGATATATCCATGCGTGTGAATTTTCAGATTACTGGAGTGAGAGTGACAAGGAAGAAGCTGATACTCCATCAACACCCAAACAGGACAGTCCTCCGCCACCCTATGATACATACCCGCGGCCTCCCTCTGTAAGTTACCAACAGGAATATAAACAGCATCAGATTCTTTTACCTAAAATGTCTTTTTGTATGTTTATAAAAACAGATATGTGGTAAATTGCATGTTAGACCTCATCTTCGTAGGGGAAAGAAAATAGGGAGTCTAAAAGCAATAAGGGAATTTTTTTTAAGTGAAGGGTACAAAGAATATTTATTATAATCAAGAGAAACAGTAACCACAGGTTCCAGACATAATAAATATCTGACCAGTTTTATGTTTTTATGTATTTATTTATTTTAATATAATTTTATTTTTTATCACCCTTTATCCCCCCTATACCCTCTTCCAACTCCACCCACTGTAATGGCCCCACTATTGTCCATGCCCATGAGTTCTTTCTTTTTTTCTTTTGCTCAACCCCTCCACCCCCCAAAACCCCACCACCACCACCAGAGCTGCCAGCCTGCCCTCTACGAGTCTCTTTATTTTGCTTATTAGTTCAGCTTGTTCATTAAATTCCACATATGCGTGAAACCATATGGTACTTGTATTTCTCTGACTGGTTCATTTCACTTAGCATAATGCTCTCCAGGTCCATCTATGCTGTCACAAAGGGTAAAATTTTTGCCCTGACCAGATGGCTTTACAGATAAATGTTACCATTCAAATTATTCAAAAAGGAACTAACACCTGTCCTTCTCAAAGTATTCCAAAAAAAAGAGGTGGGATGACCAATTTTATTAAGAAAATATACTGTGTGTCAGAATAGCTTTTGTGAAAATAACAAAAATAGTTTTTAGAAAAAATTAATTCATCTTATCTATTTCACACTAATAAATTTATACCTATATCCTTTAGAATCAACTCATGAAATTAAGATTACATCTATATTGAACATGTTTTGGCATTTAGATTTTTAGACAGCCATGGGGTCTGATTTAATGTATATGTTTATATGGTGTTCCAGACCTCTTAAACCTGTATAAATTATTCTGTGTATATACTTTGATCTTCTGATAGGTTAAACAATTTCTGCTTGTTGTGGGACTATCCCGCTTTATGCTCATTTCCCATCAGAAGTAGTGAAAGTATCTCAGTAGTGCCCCAGGTTAGACAATACATTGTATGATCATGGTACTATGATCTGCCTATCTTGGGACTGAGTCTTCCACATAGGAAACAGAAGCTAGATTTAAGTGACAAGAACAACAAACCTAATTCCACCTCCATATAAGTTCAGGGGATTTTCAATAAGAAAGGTGCCATGCAAGATGTTGATATAATTCCAGACCTTGGCCTTCTCAACCTTGGCTATGCATAAGAATCACCGCTGGAACATTTTAGAAATGCAGATGTTCAGGACCAATCCAAACATATTAAATCAGAATATTTGGGCCTGCACACAGCTCACTGGACTGGCCTGTGAACTTTTTTATAACAGTTTATTCATCTATACATTTCCTGGCCTAGTTCAACACTGGCACTTATTACGTACATGCTTGATAAATATTTCTGAAATAAATGGATGGGTACTTTTGGCTAATAATTAAAGGGAAGCCATATTTTTAATAAAATGTTTAAATACCTAAGGAGAAAAAGAGAAAAGTGAGAGAAATTCAGAATTGTTCTACCTATATGCACATTTCTTTATTAAATGCTGAAGTTTACCTAGTGCCACAGAATGCAAGGATGAGCTATGGAAATGAAATAAGTCAGTGACAAGACATAGTTTTTATCATATTTCCCCTCTGTCCCTAGAACATCAGAGTCTGAATAATTCCTTTAAAATATTCATAGAAGAGGAAGAAAGGGAAATTCCAGCTATACCAAATAGCTCTTTAATCATAGCAGCATGTGAATTTCAAGCAGGAAACTATTCACATTGTTAGTAACACATGAGAATATACACTGCCCACAGAAAATGCCACATGAGTTCTCCTTTCCCCTGAGGGGCAGCATGCACTTTCCCTCCAGCCAGGCTTGTCCTAGGCCCCATTTGTGATGATCATGTTTAACAAATGTGGCTTCTCCTGCCAGAAGAGGGCCTGGGCTGGTCTGTCAGCCCCCCAGAGCTAGAATTAGGCTTGTTCCAGTAAGCTGTGCCTGCAGGTCTGTTACAGCATTCACTTGATTCCGGTTCTTTTTCTTGGCTGTGCTTTTTACTGTAACATATAGTCCCAAACTTTAAATTTCAGGGATAAAAATATCCCATTTTTCTTTTGTGTTTATGTACCCCGAAATGCCTGTGCTCAAGGGAAATGCTAATCCCTATCAGGGTATAATCTCATGTTACCTACATTTTTAACTCTAGAAAATGCCCCAGAATTGAATAAAGCTTGGCTATGGTACCCACAGGAGCGGACATTCACCTGTTCTGTTGGTCATAGGCACTTTGTTATCACATCCCAAAGTCTCTCTTCTTACACTCATCCCCAAGCTCCACAAAATCTGGAAATAAGAATTTGGCAGCAATTGTTCAGGATTTCAAATGCACACAGATCTTAAAACCTTGGATTTGTTCAGTTGCTGAATAGTTCTTACATATGTGCTCACATTGTCTTATATTTTTGTTGTTGTAAAAAAAATTAATCTTTATTGTTGAAAGTGTTACATAGGTCCTCCTTTCCACCCCATTAACCCTTTCCAACCCACTGCCGTACCCCTCCCCCAGATCCTCACCACCCCATTGTCTATGTCCACGGGCCATGCATATATGCACACAGGTTCATTGGCTGATCTCTTCCCACTCACCCTTTGCCTTAATTTGTCAGATATTTCATGAGAGCCTGGTATAAATAGTTGCATTTCAATACCTCTACATCTCAGTCTCATGAAATGGCAGCTGAGGCCTAACTTTGAAAGCTTGACAGTTATTAACTCTCAACTGGCCATGTTGCCCAGTGGAAACCAATGTGTTCCTTGGTGATAGAAGTGGTCTGCTATTTCTGTAGAGACTGATCTGAGGCTCCTTTCCACAGATGAGTTGCGCCAGTCCTTATGTGGAAGCGAAACACAGCCGCCTCTCCTCCACAGAAACCTCTCAGTCTCAGTCCTCTCATGAGGAGTTTCGCCAGGAAGTGACTGGGAGCAGTGCGGTGTCCCCCATTCGCAAGACGGCCAGCCAGCGCCGCTCCTGGCAGGATTTAATCGAGACGCCCCTGACAAGCTCAGGATTACACTATCTTCAGACTCTGCCTCTGGAGGATTCCGTCTTCTCTGACTCCGCGGCCCTGTCCCCAGAGCACAGGCGGCAGTCCACCCTTCCAACTCAGAAATGCCACCTGCAGGATCACTATGGGCCGTTCCCCTTAGCCGAGAGCGAGAGGATGCAAGTGTTAAATGGAAACGGGGGCAAGCCTCGAAGTTTTACTCTGCCTCGAGATAGCGGGTTCAACCACTGCTGTCTGAATGCGCCGGTTAGTGCCTGTGACCCGCAGGATGACGTGCAAGCCACAGAGGTGGAGGAAGAGGAGGAGGAGGAGGAGGAAGGGGAGGCAGCAGGGGAAAACATAGGAGACAAAAGTAAGTATGTTGATGGAGATTGTTAGCCTGTATACCCAGAGTCCTAACCTTTTCAAACTTCTTATTTTAAGAAAATAGAATTCTGTTTCCCCTTTTTCTTAAAATAATGGTCTTGCTACATAGGAAGTTAGGTACCCCTTGGTGTCCTACTTTCAGAACTGAAGTAGCTTGTGGGGAAAAGATGAGTGATGAAACTTATATCCCAGGATACCCATAGCTAGAGCAAATAACTTTTTTCTCCAGTTATCTATGGCCTTTTAAGGTCAGTGGTATTCATTTCTTTATCTTCCTCTGCTTAGCCACTTCTCACTTGCATGCATCATCCTTTGGTCCACAGTTTTTGCCCCCTAAATTTGTGTTGAGAAACTTTAAATGCTTCAAGGAGGATGTTCACAGAACCTTGATTGAAAAAGTAAGTGAACACACACACACAACTTTAAAATCCAAATTTTTCCAAGAAAAAATTTTCACTAGTGTTTCTATCAACTTAGCCAAATTTAGTCTAGAAACCAATTTGCCAAAAGCATCCATTTACTTTCTTACTATGGATGTTGATTATAAATTTCAATTTATATGAATCAACTCTTAAGAGAGACAAATCAATTAAGTAACCCTCTGTCTTGTTGGAATGAAGATGTTTACTGTTATCAGGTTCTTTATCCACCATGTAATACCGAGCATTTTTTAATAATTAATGTGATATACCAGTTCAGAAACCTAGGCTAGCTTAAGGAAACAGCTCTAAGTTACTTATTTACAAAGAAAATCTAGGACTGGCTATAAATCTCTAATATTAAATATCCCCAAAATATAGAAGAAATAGTATAAAACTGTTTACATTATTTTATTCAAAATGAAGTCTAAGCCAGTTAGTGCATATAACCTGAGCCATTGTTGCTGAAACCACAGTTACTAATGTGGTTCTATGAGGGCATGAGACTACTCTTATTAAAGGATGCAAACAGACTTCATCCTTCAGCCCATTTCATGAGTGCATAAGACGTTGACTACAGGATATATTTGTGTAAGTTCTTCATCACAACTGAAAATAACCAAAAGCTCACAGGTTAACAGTAGGCTAAGAGTCTCATTTCAAATGAGGGTCCTTTGGCGATTATAAACAAGAAAACAGAGTGAACTTCCTTTTATGGTATGGTTCTTTATTGCATTATTTAGTGGAAATTAAATTATGGCTTATACCATCAAATATGAGTTTCTTATAATAAAGTTCATGTGTTAAACCAGTTTTCATGTATAGTTTAGCCATAATCTCCATCAGAAACATGGCATGTATACGGTTGGTACAGAAAGATAATTACCATCAATTACCTGCCAAGCCCTCGCAATATAAACATTTACTAGAGATCATGGAAGAGACTGTAGCAGAAATGTCTAGGAACTATGGTAGGCCTCTGTAAGAGTTCTGGCAAACAGATAAAACATTTTTAATAAGATAATTATCACAGTGTAACTAAAGGTGAGTTAGAAACTTCATATCAGCTGTCTTCCAGGTACTACACAACTGCTATTACTATGTCAGGTTTGTCCAGTACTACCAGCACAAAGCGCATGCGCTAGGATCTCAAAGCCCGGCCCTTGTGCTCACCCTTCCTTCTGGCCTCAGTAGCCCACAGAGCACCTCTAGGTACATGGATTTCAATTTCTTTTTCTCCTAGTGTCTCTTTTTTTTCTTTTGCTGTTTTGTTGATTTGATTTACTTTAGCTATATAGACACATTCTTAAGTCAGGGGAGTTTTCCTTCAGGTTCCCAAATAACTCAAGTGGGCAGTTATTCCATACTATTCTCCATCTTTTTCAGTGGACTCTCTCTTTGTGGAATAATTGTGACGACACAGAACAGCCCCAGGAAGTGTGTCAGGAAATGTGGCATTGCACATTTGGACTTTATGGTTCAATATCGTGGGGCAGTTCATGCTATTTCAGTCAGCCCTGCTTCTCTCAAGGTGGCGTGTACTATCTTTCACAGCCCCATTTCTTTCCAGCTATTTTTCCATACATCTTGCCACTTGATGTCCCAGTGTCCTTCAGATTATCCTCAACAGAGCAGTGCTTTTCATGCTTGCCTAGAAAAATGCTTCTTATTTAATGGAATATATATTCGCCTTCCTAATGATGGTTTTTTTTTCCCCCTGCATTACTGTTTCTAATAGTTTGGAGTGTACAATTTGATGAACCCTTCATTTGGGGAACATCAGCTCTAAAATGTGTGTTTTCAAAAGAATCTCTAAGGTCTAGTTATGGGTTATTGTGTTCATGAGTGCCCTGAGCTGGCCATTAGGAGTAAATATTCCATGCTGCTTATTCAAATCAAGTTGCTTGGCGTTATATCAACAGAGTAAACATTATCCCAGGGAAAGAAGCCGTGACCGTTCCATCAGCCTCAGATGTATGGCATGCCCTCCAATACGGAGCACTCACTATGCCACTGCACGGGTCAGCAGGCAACCGTGCTTATTAGAATCAAAGTCCGACAGCTGTGTGTTACTGACCGTCCTCCTCCAGGTCAGCATTCGGTTTGACCTACTCAAGTGAATCTGCACTAATCAACTACTGACCTGCAGAGGAAATAAGTTTCATGTCTCCAGCTCCAAACCTTTTTCTTGGTTTATCAAGAAATTAAAAAAATAAGAAGTGTGAGGAGATGGGCAGAAGGAGTAATGGGGGCTAACACATAAAAATACAGTCTCTCTTCTTCTGCTTTAGTGGTGAAGAATTGTCATCAACCAAATCCCTTTAGCATTCACATTTAACTTAACTCTATATAACATATTTTATAGTGTTTAGGAGTTTACAAAGCAATCTGAGAAGCAAGATGTACCTAAATCTGTGGCTTGGGTAATTTTTTCAGGTTCCTTATAGATATTCAATTTGGACCTGCTTATGAAGTGTAAATTTAGCATTCTTTAGAACAGACTTCATTCTGTGTTCTCATGATTGAACTACCTTTTGTCTTATTTTAAAATTCAGTTATTTAAGTGTCATACTGATTTTTCTCAGGCTGCACTCATTTTAGTCTAAGGTGAATGGTACTAAAAGTACACAGATGAGACCTGTCTTGTTTTCCTTTGACTGAAAAGTCAGCTTGCATATTAATTGTCCTGACCTACTTCGCTGGCATTTGGAAGAAGACAAGTCATTTTCTATTATCCCAATTAACAGTTCTGAAACTTACTGAGGTACGGGACTTATAATACTTCAGTTAAATTAAATTATAAATTATGTCAACCTATGCAAGTTTCAAGGAGTGTAAATCACAAAAGTGGGGGACAAAATATAAACATTTTTTTCATTCTGAAATCAGTTGTCATAACACAAAAGTACTGTTTCGGTCAGTGCAACTTGAAGTCTGCTGGAATGACTTTCTTTCCTTTGCCATGCCAGGCAATTTAGATGAGGTCTCCAAAAACTTTATCCCTTGATTCTGCTGATTTCCCTCCTGGCCATCATAAGATTATTCCATACATCCCCTTTGCCTTCGTATACTTGATGAAGTTATAATGTGCTCTTTTTATTACCTTGAATATAACCTGCCAGTATTCTCACTTAATTTACACATTTATTAGCGTGGCTTTAAAAATCTAAAGCAAAACCTAGGGAGCTTGGATGGGGAGGAAGAGGGTGGATAAAATCCATTACCTAGTAAGCTATAATATATCTCAGGTTATCTGGTCAGGATGTTTATTGATGCTTTCAAATTTAGATCTGCAGAGAACTGCATTTTAAAGTTAATTTTTTTTTTCATCTAACATCCTTTGCACACCATCGGTAACCTTAGAGCTGCACAAAAGATGCAGCTCGGTGGCCTAATATCTTAAATTATCTAGGCTGAGAGGCTGGATAATGACTACCAATTTAGTGCAGAAAAAGATAGATTAATCCTCTTCAATCATTTTAAAGGGTCCTAGAGTAATTTCCTGAAGAGTCTCTAAAAGCCATGAATTTTATTTTTGAGAACATTCAGGTAGGAAGTGTGTGGGCAAGGGGAAGATATTTCTAAAGTATGAAATTGTGTTAAAAGCAAAAGGGAGCAAGTTGAAAATAGAGAAAAATGTTGCAGTACTTTTTATAGTCTTATTTATTGTCCAGATAAATTATGAACAAGCACAAAGAATTTAGAAGAGTATAATCATGAATATCTTAAATTATAGTTTGGCTTTAAATGGAATCGGTGAAAAAGATATATAAGCATTGGGAATAAAAAGGCATCCATTAAAATTAGAGAAAGAATAGCAGAGAACCTTAAATATGCCACTTTTGTGAAATTTAAGGGCATCGTTCTTGGCTTGTTACATATATAAAGAACACAGAAAAATTTAGCAAGTCATAAACAAATAGTCTCTTAATACCACATTGATTGATTTTGAAGAAAAACTATTAGGAAGACATAAAACACTAAAGATCAGATATAGAGCCTATCCATTTTAGCCATAATTCTGATATTGGTTATAGGTTGGGTTTTTAATCTCACCTCAGTTTTTGGGTTGAATTATAAGGAAACGTTATCATGTTTAGTTATAGGAAATTCAAAGGTGGGTTTGTTCTGGAGTGAAGTCATAGCTCCGCAGAGTTAGGACTCTCAGTTAACTTTTCTGTAATGCCAACAGCTCCAAGCATCACTTCTTATAAGATAGCATCCATACAGCCAAAGATCAGGCCCTATCTTTAGTCATTTTTATAAGATCAAGGAAAACATCCTAGATCCTTCAGGGAGGTTTAACTCCAAATTTCATTGGCCGAGGTTGCACCACATGTCCATGCTTAAATGGAAAGGGAAATGGAAAGATTTTGAATAGTTCAGAATAATCCTTGAGTTGTTTTTAAGATCATAAAGAAAAGATATGTGCCAAACTGCTTATCTACATGAGACTCTCTCCTATATATGTTATAGCCTCAAATAATTTGTTCAGTGTTTCACTCTTTGAAAACCACACACACACACACACACACACACACACACACACACACACACATATCCTAGA